TGGTACGGCACTGGGCTGAAAAGTCTGCATTACTGTCAGACCATCCTTTTTAGTTTGTAGCTATGTTCAAATAACATATCCCACATGTTAGCATGTAAGTGGCCTTCTCATACTTAAAAAGACCTTATTTTGCTCCCTAGGTTTTCTAAATTGTTTGAGTGACTTTGGTGGTCTCTTGCTTCATAAACAATGATCATTTTAGAAAACGTGGGATAGGGTGAAGAACTTATACTGGATCTTTTTTGGTGTCCTGGTCAAAACCAGCTTTCAGTGGAAAAAAAAAGATTTTTACAATAAATAACGTAGGATAGGAATTTTTGTTAGATGTCATGAAGGGCCCGTATACCTGTTCATAAGCATTCCTCAAAGCATAGTACTCAGTAAGGAACTCCCTTTCATATTAATAACTTAAGAAATTTCTAAGGATAGGCAAATAACTAAAATTTAGGGTATGTTTTGGTGGGTTGTCTTTGGACGTTATGCTTCATGTTTCCAAACTCTTAGACAATTTAGTTCAGAAACTCTAGGAAATTCATATAGAAAGCAGCTGACAACTATTTGGACTTCTTCTTCTGAAGGAACAAGTCTATAAAGACATTGATTTAAAATGAGACCCTTGATTGGATTCTTGGTAGTACTAGGGGACTTCAAAGTTGAAATTGTAGATTTTGACTTGCAGATTTTTTAAATTTGTGGGTTTTTGCTGAATATCTCTCCAGTTCCATAACAGAAGTAATATATCATGAAATTCCATATGGATTTTTTTTTGTTTTTACCTTTTTTAAAATCCTATGATCCAATGTTGTGAGATCACCTGTGTTATGTCATTCCTAAAGAAACCCCATTATATTATTTTCTTTCTCTTCTCATATCTAGAGTTTAGTATCTGAAGTATATATGTTTAAAGAATGGCGTTGGCATTGGGAGAGATTATTGACATTTATATTTTTTTTTACCAATTTCCAATGCAAAATAATTGTATGTACTATACTACAAACATATTAAATGTTCTTTGAAATTTATAATATAGATTAGAACTTATGTGACAATAGGGCACTGTCATAAAAAAAAAACCCAGAAAATTCCCTGGTGTTCTGATTCCTGGTAACTTTCTGCTACCACACACAGCTCAAGGAGGGTTCAAGGGGTTTCCTTCTATTAGACTTGGACATTAGACCTATGATGACTTTTCCCTTTACTTTATCCCTCCCCTAAAATAGCTTTATCATAAAGTGTGGACAATCAGTGGGAAAACTGTGTAGCTGTGTATTAGGAAGTCAGAAAAGAAAGAAGGTCCCCATGGGTGGCCTCCATGTAAACAAATTTATGAAGGTTTAGGCAAGAACCAAACAAGATTGGCATGCACACATGGATCAGTTGCAATCCTTACTGGAGCATATATCCATGATGAGATCAGAGATCCATTTGAGTGTGGAAATCTCTACCTACTCTTGTATCCTTACATACCACTTTGAAGTCTCATCATGGTGTAGAACTGCCCCTAGGTTTATGAAAGTTGTACCAGAAAAAAAAAAAGCTCTGTCAGGATCCACCATGCTAGAAAAGTGTTTAGTATAAATAATCCCAGATATAGACTATGTCTGCTTTCTGAAGACCAATCTAGTGAAATACAAAGAATCTTACTGTAAACTGGTCGCTTGGTGATGAATCACCCTTTGACCATGACCACTCATGAAAAAAATTAAATGACAACAGCAACAACAACAACAATAACAAAAGTTATAGATAAAGGGAAATTACTAGTGAAAGACATACACTGCCCAAATAAGGTATGTATCTCCACATGGGTTGTCGGAATGGACAGGCAGGCAGCTCAAGGTAAAAGCATTTATAGATCTCTCTGGAATCTTGCCCTCCTAAATATTGCTTGTCTAGTGGCATAATGGACTGAAAACAAAATTCCATTTCCCTGGCCACTCTATGTCTTAAGATAGGACAGTACCCCAAGCTTACATCTACCAACTTGGCCTACTTCCAGCACACGCTGGGTACACAAAAGACCATCACAAATAGTGAATAGTGAGTAAACCCAATTATCCAAGCCAATGGCAAATAGAAATCAGAGAAGATATACAGATTAGAATATACCCCCAAAAGTACACAGGAGTGAATAAGCTCTATAGATGGGAGACAGTTAATATCTTGAGAGAGTTTCTGATCTCACCTAAGAGGAAATTCCCCTGAAAATCAGAGATTGATTTCTTCTACATGTCTTTAAGAGAATCTTTCAATTTCTCTTTCCTGGAATTGTTCCCAAAGACAGTCTAGAACCATGGTATCCTTTCAAAGAAGGAAACATGAAGAATATTTTACCTCTTCCAAACTTTCCCATCTGCTCTACTCATATAGTTACCTAGGATTAAATTGGCATTCTATCCATCATTTAGGAGAATCTCATAAAAAATGATCCAGACTGGGCTGAAAACCCTGGTTATCTAAGCACATGATCTTGTTATTCATGAAAAGGCAAATGAAAAGAGTATTTGGACTAGAAATTAGAAGATCTGGATTCTAGACCCAACATTTCAACTTAATAGCTTGCTAACCATTTTTTAATCTTAACACTGGACAAATCACTTCAGTTTTCTGAGCTTCATCTTCATCACCTACAAAATGAGAATCATAATACTTGTCCCTCCATCCTCATAGAGTTGTGTGAGTTGAATAAGATAATGTATGTGAAAGTGTATTGAAATCTGCATTGTGTGATGTTCGGAATGTCAATCATTATCATTATTCAGTTTAGTTTGATAAAAAGTATCAGCCTGACCAGTTGCTAAGGTGCTTTCAATTTCACTTTTTAATTGTATACTAGCTTCTACATCTCAGATTAAGCATTCTTTCTTAGTCACTAGTGTCCCAGGAAAATATTCTCTCCTGATCATTGAAAAAAATAAGCAAGATACTTTGCCATCTATCTGTGGATCTCATTCTCAGGTTCAGAACAGATCACATTTCTGGCAGCTAATTCACTCCTAATTAAATCACCACCACCCCCCCTTTTCACCTCAATTTCTTCTAACTTCTTAACATTATCATCCCAGCCTTCTTAGTTCACATATTCAGGTCCTGGAGCTCAATGTTCCTAAGATGTCAACCATGTTTGACCTCTTCTTATTGCATAAGCATATTGAAGAGATCATTTCCCACCCCCCTCTACATTATATTTATTCCTCTTATCCAACTAGTGCGCTAGGTTTTAATTGATGCTCTATATATGTTTAGGGAGAGAAATTGTTGTTATAATTCATTCATATTAGCCTAAAAATGCCTTGTAAATTATTTTTCCCAGGCTGTATTTAGCTTAGTTTTCTTACTTTTATACAGCTCTGTGGAATTGGACATGAAAATTTTTAAAAAAGGAAAAGAGTATAAATTTAGCAACTTTCTTAAATTCCATAGCAAAAGACTCATCTCCCTTCAGCAGAATTCAAATCACTTCTGGCTCCAATTTTTGTGTGGGAACCTTAATGTGTTTAGTATTTTCCTTCGACCTACTCAGTGGGATTATATCAGTCATTATGAAACAGGTGCTAGGTGCTCTGAGATGACATTAGTGTCCTAATGGAGAAAAATAAAGAAATAAAGTATAGCATATATGGTCTGCTTTTTCTTATCCACAGAAGACTTGGATATCTTCTTATATAATTTTACATCCAAATGGTGTTGGATGCACAGGGTTACTTGATTTGAGTTTGATGATGATGATGGTGATGGTGATGGTGATGGTGATAAATGATATATGTGTGTGCATCAATTTAAAGTTAGCAGAGCACTTCATGTGCATTATACAGTGAAAAAGAGTTAAGTGGAAAGGGGATTTAGATTCTGCTTTCATTTCTTCATCTAAGGAATAGTAATATTAATAAGAACTTCTGGATATATGGTGCTTTAAGGTTTACACAGTGTCTTATATGTATTTGCTATTCATAACAACCCTGTGGGGATAATTAATACAAGTGTTAGTTCCATATTACAGATGAGAAAGCAAAGACTTGGAAAGGTGAAGTGATTTGCCAGATGCCAGAGAGAGAGGCAGAAGCCAAGTTGAGGCTTGAAATGAGTTGTTTGCCCTGATTCTAAGTCCTTTACTTTTACTACTAGGCCTTATTGGGGGGGGGGGAAGGGGGAGAAAGGGGAGGTTGTTTGTTTTGTTTGTTTGTTTTGTTTTGTTTCTTTGGGGTTGAGTTTTCTTTTTAGTGTTTTCTATGGGAGGGACAGAGTAGTGAGGGCAGGTCCCAGACTAGGGATTTCACTGATTCTGGGGAGGAAACTCCTACTGATTCAGTTCAGTAACCCATCAGTAACATCCAGTCTTAGAGAGTTGCCTGGGGGGCCCTGAAAGATTCAGTGACTTACCCACTATCTTAATAGCTATTATGTGTCTGAGGCCAGGTTTGAACCCAGGTCTACCTGACTTCAAGTTTGGCCCTTCATTCTCTTTACCAGGTTGCCTTTCACAGTGCTCGTGATCCTCAAAACCAGATAATGCTTCTAAATGAATCGCTGCAAGATATTCCATCAAAAAGGTTTATGCAATACAATTATTGTAGATTATGTCAAGGAGCACAATTGGAACACTGATGGGTAGAGGAAGGCCATTTTCTTTCATTTAGTTAGCAACTATCTGACTTCCTAGATACACATGATATGTATACACTGATTATACGGTGGTGTTAACTAAAAACACAGAAAACACAGAGTATGTACTGCATGTTGAGACACATATAAATATATCTATTTCCATGTATCTAGGTGTATCTGTGTATCTGTGTGTATGGATATATGTGTATACACACACACACACACACACACACACACACACATATATATATATACAAATATATGTGTATATGCACATATACATAGATGTCCATACACAAATGTATGAACCTGGGAAAAATAAAACACTTGTAGAATTGATGTGGGAGTGCAGTTACCTCTATAACTCATAAGGTATTTTAACAGTAAATGCTTACCTGGAACTGGCCCACACGTGGGATACACAATTTAATTCTGTAGTGCGATATGCGATGAAAAATTACTGCACTTTTCCTAGAGATAAAATGAGTAGTAGTAATTATTATTCATTGTGTTCTAAGATTTGCAAAACACTTTCTATATACATTTTATTTTTATGACACTCCTGTGAGATAGGTGCAGGCACTCTTATGACTCCCATTATACAGCTCAGAGGATTGTAAATTGATTGCTGAAAAGGACCTTAGAGTTCATATAGTCAACCCCCCATCATTCTACATATGAAAGACCAAGGCTTTGCTTATGTTGAACAGTTAGTGTCAGAGGTGGGATTTGAACCCAGTTGTCTCCCGATTCCAAATTAAGCACCCTCTCCACTATACAATGCTGTTCATTTGTACATGAATGGATGGGTGCATCCATCCACTGCTTTATCTTTCTTTGGAACTTACTGTACCTAATGTAGATATAACTTGGAGAAAGGACTGTGGGTTAGGGAGATGTTTTAACGATTGCATTCTACCTTTTCTTTTCTTTTTTTTTTTTTGGTCCAGCTGTATAAAATCTCACTGCTATATTGAACTAAAGTGCCCATCAATGTTCCTTTTATTGGACATGCTTCATATATTGTGATGAGATTATATGCATCCATAGAGGTTGTTAGGAAAAACTTAACACGCCACTGATGTGCAATGAAGGAAAGTTAATTGTGTAGATGCCACAGAACTGCATCAATGAGTAGCTCTCTGTCAGGAATATTAATCTGCCTTGAATAGAAACTACTAAACAGGCTGTTGTAACCAACAGCCTAAGGTAAAACTTGATATTAATAAACCCACGGCAATGAATCAAACCTCAACTATCTTTTTCACATAGGGATCACTCTGCTAAAAAACCATGAAGTGGCTACTCTGTGAACCTAACCCCCTTTCTCATTGTTCACTGATACACTGATCAAATGGGGTCCCTGAAAGTACTTGTTTCTTTTCACTTTGTATCTTTTTTTAAAAAATCAGGAGTAAAATTTCCTTCTCAATTTCTTTGAATGTATTTATCTAGGTGCCTTTATGTAAGTAGGCTTTTAAAAAAAAATTTCATCAGAACAGTCTTATTTTCAGTATGTAAATTCCATGCACAATTTAACTGCACCCAGAAAATTTCAAATGGGATGGATTTGTGTGCAGGAAATTCCAATGCAATCCAGTTGCAACTGAAATTGGTCATTGGTGCAAGTGGCCAATTGTGGAAATAGCTTTGTTGTCCATGAAATTTGCAAGCAATTGAATTGTGTGCAGAGAAGGAAGATTTACATTTGAAAATTATAATCCATCATATAAATTGTAATTATCACTATCAGTAATGAGACTGGTTTACAAATGGATTTGTGAACCAGTGTGTGTGTGTACACACATACAGATATACATATATGTATGTATATTCATATACAAATGTATTCATTTATTTTGAAAAAAATCAGAAGAGCTTTCTCCTATAGTGCATTAAAGGTAATCCCACTTGGAGACAGGACTATAGATAAAATGACCTTTCAAGGCCCTTTACACTCTAATCCACTGACTCTTTGCCTGTGTCTGTGTCCTTCAAGGAGGGAAGAGACAAGTAGTTCCTCCCCTCCTTGCCTAGAATAATTACTAAACTGAAAAGCTACCAGGGAGGGAGAGAAAGAGGGAGAGTGAGAGAGAAAGAGAGAGAGAGAGAGAGAGAGAGAGAGAGAGAGAGAGAGAGAGAGAGAGAGAGAGAGAGAGGAGACACAATGAGATATTCATTTCATAAATATGAAGCAAATTTTCCCTGGGTCTTCCCATCTTTTTCAGCTCTGATGATGAACTGAATGTTCTGCTTATTTCTACACACCCTTCTAACTCCATTTTCTTCTAAGTAGGAAAGTCCTTTTGATGTTGTATACTTTTTTTAAGAAATTGATCTGAAAGTGGTTGATGCTTTCTTTTAAAACAGTATTATAACATTTATTAGTCCAAGACACAACCATGAACTTTCTGGGACCCAACAGAAGGAATCTACCCATTCCCACTGACACCTTCTAGTTTGTCGCTGTCCATAATCCCAACCACTATAATATTTGTACATGTATTTATACTTACATGCATATGTACAGAAAATATATGTGGGTATATATTGATATACACCCATCTTTCACCTCACTCTCATGATTACAATCATCTTTATCTAACACACCCTGTTCTAAAATTGACAAATGGTGATGCTGAAATCTTAAATATCATAAAATACTAGGATATTTTTGTCAAACACTAAAACAGCTATAACTGAAATAAAAATTACTAACATGTATACCATTTATAGAAATCACTGAGTTTTAAAATGTTAGATTTATTATTTCCTTTTTTTGAAATTTCAATTCATTTAAAACTTGATCTATGATGTTTTGGCTGTATCTAGTAGACAGTTATAATCTTGTAGTAAAGGATCAAACATTTCAAGTGGGAATGTTGACAACAAGTGTAATGCACTGGGGAGTTTTGTTGTTATTGTTCATTTACTTGTTTTCTCCAAAGAAAATCTTTTGAAAATATCTTCAGTCCTAACAGTCCATTTTTTTTTTTTGCTAACATTTCTACAAGCATCACTTTCCGATTTGCAAAACACTTAGGCATCATAGCAGTACTAAAACAAATGTTGGTTTCAGCTATAACAGTTAAAACAAATGTTTGCATTCTGGAAATGTTTATTGGTGAAACAAATGTTTTCAACTGAAAAATAAAACAAACCTAAAGCCCAAATATTATGGCGGTTAAGGTACCTTTAAATAAAATATGCTGGGTTATGCTAAAATTAGCCTTTATTTAGAAAATACTTTGCATGATCAGTTATGACTGATCTTCCAACGTCATTTCAAGAAATCTTATAAGCAGAAGACAAAAAGCAATAATATAAGCAATGGGGAAATGAGTTTCCTGGTCTAGGTGATCTTTTCTGCAACACAAACAATTTGACAATATTCCTTTATATCTAAGTGTGCAACACAAAATGTCATTTCTTCCTGCTTGTTCTTATAATGTTTTTTTTACATTTATGTGGTGCTTCACTTAAAATACTTTAGCTCAGTCTTTTTTTTTTGAATCAATGACTTTAATGCTAAAGTAAGCTAAAAGAGTGTTAATAATTTTCTAGCAAATGGCAAACTTTTGCCGTTTAGCAGTTAAAAACTTCCTGAAATATTTAAAAATCACTTTTAACAGTATATTAAAGTAAGTGCAGGGCTTTATCTAAAGATCTCTCTTAACCTTCTAAATACTTAAAATATTACAGGTAAATTAACTATGTGACATTATAGAAGTAAGTGAACTTATGTGAATAAATATTTCAAATTATAAGTGGAGAGTGTGTAACAATTGAATTTTTAAAAAAATTTTGTATTTCACTTGTGGGTTCTTATTCACTGGCTTCAGTAGAATTATAAATCTGTGTCAAAGGAATGAAGGTCAGGAGGATTTTTTTTTTACCCTCGTTTACATGTTTGAGATATTCTGCAAAATTGAGTCTATTTATTTCAAGTTCTCCAAGAGAAGGGTAAATAATTGAAAGTGAATTTGACCAGTTGCAGTCTATGCATTCATTTAGTTTGGTTTTTATGATGTATTTGTAAAACAGGCAAAATGTTTTAGCCATTTTAATTGCATGGGTGGTAGAAAATGTAATCTTCAGGCAGATGTTGGTAAAACAGACAAAATAATTAAAGTGGTAGAATGCTTCACTGATCGCCTGGGGGGAAAATCAAAGTGCAGCACTGGTTCTCCAAACTTTCTTTCAATTGATTCCTAATATTCAGGAGGAGATGTTTGTATGTCTATGCCATATAATACATCATTTCAGGATGATGCGCCATTCATAAAAGTTAGTGATTTCCTTTCTGTCATTTAATAGGCTGCTCTGAATTTCAACTAATAGAAATTTAATTATTTTAGGGAAACTATGTAGGATGAATAGACGCCCCCTCCCACAACCTATTGATGGCATATGTTTGTAGTTTGCGATGCACCTTGCTTAAATTATATGAAGAAAATGTTAGGTCATAAAATCATTAAGGTTCACTGTGTAATGAGAAATAGTTTAAGTCAGGGATCTTGAGGCCCCTGTGGCCATGTGGGATTGGTTCAAAATCTTTGCAAACAGCATTGTGTAAGGTGTTACCATACTGATGAAACATCTGGGATATTTACCAAAAAATACCAGCTGCTCAGTCAGCATAACAGAACAAGATTATGGACATCAATTTAAGAAGAGATTGTGTCTGGGTATTTTTTTGACATATCTACTTAATGGCAAAAGAGGACCAGAACTAATATCAATTTAATAGACAAAAAAATCATGCTTTTCACTGTATGTGCAAGATAATTAGCATTTAATAAAAAATGTTCATTCAAGAAAGAGTTTACTTTAGAGACCTTAAAAACTATGGATAGCCTAGTTTTTAACAGACATCTACAAAATACCCAGCCTCTTGGCTTCAAAGCCAAGCATTTGAATAATGTTTCATACTTGTCCCTATCTGTTTAGCCACTGAGCAATCTATGGTGTCCGGAGAAACCCATGCACGTGAAACTAGACTAGCTTGTTTTCCCCTCAGGTGACCATAACAAGCTTTCCATCTCTACTGAACTCAGGTTCAAATTGGAGACATTGAGGTAAAAATATCTTTAACAATGACCTAAGTGATAAAAAAAAATACACGTAAGTATATATGATCAGCCCTGCCTACAGTGTAGGAGTTGAGGGGGAGAAGCTATATATGCAAAATATCCACTTGGGATTTATTTACATAAATTAAAGTATGACAACATGGTCATAAACATATTGATTGACATCACCTGAAAGGTAAAGCTCCTTGATCAGTTCCCTGCCCTGCCTTTCAGAAGATGGTGTTGGTATAGCTACATATGCAGGTGTAACTATTCCAAGGCAAGGAATTTCAGTGACAGGAAGAAGCAAGAAATAGGAAGGAGTGGAGATATGTGATTTTCACCTTGTGCTGGGTGAGTTAGAGGTGACTAAAGAGTAGTTGGTTCATAACACTGAAA